ACCACAGAATGTTCTCAGACAATCTGTCTCCACCGATTGCCTTTGCCAATGACAGTTCGTCGAGAGTCAGAGCATGGAAATTGTGAAATCCGATGGGGCGAACTCTCACCTGCCCGCCAGCACATGCGGCAGCCAGATTCATCATCTTTCCAGCAGCATCTTGCCTACGACATGCATCAACCGGATACTCAGCAGCTGCAACAACAACAGCATTCACCTTCTTTAGACATGCAGCTACAACATCCCTTTTCGCCTCTCTTACAACAGCATCAAAATGCAGAAGGCGACTTCCCACGACACCAACATGAAAAACATAGACAAGAGAAATCTTCCTCTAACCGACCATGCCATTATTATGAACAACAGCGACGATATCAGCACTGTGCCCCCTTTCACCTTCTGCAAGAGCATGGGGGACTCTCATTCAATGAATCGGCTCAAAAAAGTAATCAACAATACCATGTCCCCCAACATGAGCAGTTGCAACCTAGGTGTAAACACAATGACTATCAACAGCTGTCAAATAAAAGCTCTTCACATCAAGCTACATTGCAGCATCAGCTACCTTATGCACTCGAACAAACGCAGTCTCAACAAGGCTACAAGTATGCAGAGTGTAAGCATTCGCTGCCAGCTCACTGGCCTATCATTAAATCAAACTTAAGGGCTGACCACCGGTCTTTGCTCCATAATAACGATGGCCTCCCTAGCTCTCAACCGGCTCAAGCCGATAAATTAACGGGTCCGTCTCTAAATTTATCGCCAAAATCAGGACTGGAATCATTAAAATCAGCATTAATATCATTTCAATAATTAATTTTTAAGGGATATAATGTTTCGAACACGAGTTAGAATCTGCCTATCAGCACCTGCACAAATGGTTCCAAATCTAGGAGCGCCAAATTTTCAAGAGTATCTGAGTCTTCTGCGAGTCTGCTCGCTTCAAATTGTACAGATATATTATCTACAAGGACTACAAGTGAAAATTCTGTGACAATAGGATCGATGCTTTCTAAAGTTTGGCTTGGCGATCCACGTAAAAACACCCGACTAAGCCGTTCCTATCCTTGATCGATTTGCGCCCATGTATATCTATCTATTTTATCTCATTTAAATTTTATATAATTTATTAATTTTTTGTTTATTTATAAAAAATGTCTGGTTTTAAAGTGTCTCAAGCGATTTTGATAGACTCTTTACATGTCTGAGGTTTTACCCATAAATTTTTGATTTCATATATTGATGGTAATTTTATTGACATGAATGGACCGGGCAGAACCAGATAAAATTTACCGTAGGGATGGATAATAATACTAGTTTGCCGTTTTTAGATATTTTCTTTCGAATTGCAGGGTTATGTATATGACGCTAGAGTGCATTTGTTTTGTTTTGACGATCTTCCATAATCATAGTTACTAGAGTAGGTTTGGTGTTTTTGAGTCAAGGTTCAGGAATATCAGTTTAACATATATAAAACACTGGACAAATGAACTGGATAAAATTAAACTGTTGTTTAGAAGTTGTTTGACCTTGTTTTCGCAACTTGATCATATTGCTAGGAAGATTTAGAAGAACACACATAGTCCGGAGTCCATTGTTTGCATGATCATTTCCAGAGTAGGACCATGGACGTAGTAAATTCCCAGACGTTTCGCCTGAGTCGTCAGTGAGTCTCGCCATTATTAGCACCACAAAACAACTCGTAAAAGAAACAAGTGAAGCCGATTCTTTGATCAAACATGTGCTAAACTGTTATGGTATCTCCCCTTCTGCTCTGGGCTATTCATATCTCCTCCT